ATGAATGTTTAGAAAGCTGGTCTCCTCTCTGATCCATTTGTGTACCAGAGCCCTTTTGCTGTGCATCAAGCCAAGGGAGACTTCAGTTGAGATTACATCCTTGCTCAGTTCTTTCCCCTGCTTTATCCTGCTTCCTCTCCCTTACGGGCGCACCTGGGAGTACACCTTCACCATAGCTCTTTTACAAGAATCCTCATCTCAGGCTTTGCTTTTAAAGAACCCAAATTAAGTCAGTCCTTTTAAGGACTTTGACTTTTAGTCTGTGAGTGAAATGGGAGCTACTACAGGGTTTGGGAAGTGACATTATCTGGCTTATAATTAAAATCACTCTTCTCACACTTGTGTTGGAAGAGACTCAGAGAGAAAAGGCATGGGAACAAAGAATAGAAGATGAAGAGACTATCACAGTAATCCAGGTAAGAGAGGATGGTGGCTTGGTAGGAGTAAAGGTGATGAGAAGTGACTAGTTTCTGAAGTAACATCATACAGGACATCTTGACAGATCATATACAGTCTTGGCATTAACTGTAAAGCATAATAGTGCATCAGAGAGCTGGTTGATTAAGTGGTCTGTTTCCTGAAAAGCAGTCTTTGCACTTCATTCTCCATAGAAACAGGACTTCATTGGCTATCTGTTTGATTCTGATTCATTGTTTCTTTGTTGGGGTTAATGTAGAGCATGAAATCAGCCATAATACCTGACTTGCTAAAATGTAACACAGAGGCCGCTGGGGGTGAGGGAAGGTTTCGGAGAAGGGCGTGGGCCTTTGGAATGCCGAGGCCCACGGGACCATTCTGCAGTATGAATGCCGCAGGGAGTTGCCTTCCCGGAAGCTTCCTTGGCCCAAACAGCCTCCCTGTGATCTAAGAAATGTATGCATTGTCCCCTAAAGCTATGTTTAGCAGAACTCGTAGAACACGCTGATCAGCACATTGTATCTTTCCCGTAATCAGACTCTTCTGTTTTCTGTAAGAACCCTTGCCACACGTCACGCACTTGAGAAACAGAGTCATAAAGATTTATGATTATCCTGAAGCACGAATAAAGGTGAGAGCAAAGAAGAGCAAAGGGTCTTCATCTCTGAGCGTTGACCCCCTTGCCTTCTCCTCTATTTCACAGTAAAATTTGGAATCATCTTTTCATCCGTCGGTACAGGGATTGCTGGCCATTCCCAGCGTTTGTTCACCATGAAGCTATGACAATTTTAAAAGGAGTTATATTGAGATCAGTTTACTTCTGTTGAGATCAGCTGCAAAATATTTGTAAATATTAAAAACCTATGCTAAAAAATCTAAAGACCTAGGTACATCTCACTGAGAGGAAACATTGGGCCAAACATCTTGCCAAAGAATCTAAAGCACTGATATTTTTTACTATTTGTCTTGGAAATGGATCAACACCTTAGTGGGAATTTCACCTTCCATATGCTTTCTCCCCCAAATACATCAGAGATTTTCTACTTCTGTCCAGATTCCCTGGCTTCTAATATAAATCAAGTTTGACATGAAGAAGCTTGAGTCTAATAACCTCCAGATTACAAACTATCAGAAGAGCTGTGAAGGTTTAGATTGTATCAGAGAGAACATTAGTAACCTGATTAACTGAGAACATTAGTAACCTGTTTAATTTCTTGCACTGTATAGAGAAGGAAGCTAGACCCAAATCCCACCTGCATCTACAGACATTCAACTCTATTCTTTCAAGGCCCAAAGTAGACAACAAATCTCTTGTTGAGCAGTTAAGTAGTAATTGTCTCATTCTGAGTTTGACTTCTTCCCCTATTCCCCATTCAAGTCACCACTCTCCCCACTGAATGTGAGAAATGGTGTTAGAGTGAATTTTTATCCTCCTAAAGTACAGCTTAATATCAGATCCCCATCTGCTGTTAAAGGGAGCACGTTACAGAGTTAAGTCAAAGAATATTGCATGAGGAAAAGGCATGTGTATTTTTCTTGCTCACCTGTTTCCAGGGAAGTTGAGAGGAGGAAACCTTTGTAATTGAACCTTCAAACGCTTTTATTTCCTTAGGATTCTGTTCCTCCTATTTTGCAATTTGTCTCACCAAAAAATTGAATTAAGTTCTAAGAAAGAATCTCATGTTGTTACATTTACCTTTTGCTATTTTCACAAGGTTAACGCAATTGAATTTCAGGAAATGAATTGCCTTGGCCACGTTAACAAAGTGTACTTACTATTCAAATAATAAATGGTATTGTATAACCTCAGACTTCTACTGGGATCTCTGAAGGAATTGTTAATAAGATATAAAAATTCAGTGAATGCTGCAGTTCCAAATTAAATCCGTATCTTGTTTATTATGTGCCTACAGAAGAGTCGCCACTTCATGACTCACAAGTAGGCACTTAATACAATTTTTTTTTTATTGGTGGTACACATTTTGAGGAAGCTTTTGATCACTCTTGTAACACTTTTCTTTTTTACCTCCTTACTTGACCACTTCTTGAAAAAATCTTACAATAGTATCTTTCTTTCTTCCTTCCTTCCTTTCTTCTTTTCTTCCTTCCTTCCTTCCTTTCTTCTTTTCTTCCTTCCTTCCTTCCTTCCTTCCTTCCTTCCTTCCTTCCTTCCTTCCTTCCTTCCTTCCTTTCTTTGTCTTTCTTTCTTTCTTTCTTTTAGAAAAAGAGAGAGAGAGTGCGAGAGTGTAAGCAGGTTTAGGGAGGAGTAGGGGAGAGGGGGAGAGAGAATCCCAAACACGCTGAGCAGTTCATGGGGCTTGATTTCACGACCCCAAGATCATGACCTGAGCTAAAATCAAGAGTTGTATGCTCAACTGACTGAGCCACCCAGGCACCCCCTGTATCTCATTTCTAAGCTTAGTTTCTTCCCTTATTAATGTCATACTCAGTATGTGATGTGATGAACACTTGGGGATAGACAGAATAATATAATCTGTCTCTCTGCAGACACAAGCAGAGTTGATGGCTAATGACCTTCTCTATACAATGCAGGAAATCAAACACTGAGGTTACCAATATTCTATTAGATATAGTCTAAACCTACACAATTCCCCTGGAAATTTATAATCATTTTGTAAACAATTTTTCAAATTTTATTAAAGATTTTATTTATTTATTTGAGAGAGAGAGTGAGATAGAGAGAGATCACGAGGAGGAAGGGGTAGAGGGAGAAGCAGACTCCCTGCTGAGCAGGGAGCCCAATGTGGGACTCGATCCCAGAACCCTGGGATCATGACCTGAGCCAAAAGCAGACACTTAACCTACTGAGCCACCAGGAACCTGAAATTTATAATTTTAATGCTATTAGACTCCTCCTTCCCTTATGATGTCTCCTTATTTCCTTATTTATTTGGGATATGCCTATGAGAGTGCTAGAATCTTACTAGGTTGTCTCTCTTCCATACTTCTGTGACTGACTTAACAAGTTTCCTTGAGCATTAAATTTCTTTTGGCTACTGCTTTTCTGGTGAAAGATAAAAATATCACAAAACTTTCTTTGAACAGTGTAGTGGAGAAGAAAGGTGACTGAAAGAATTATAGGAGTCAGAACTACAATAAGTTCTCTATTTGAAAAGAAGCAAAGAGCTTTTGAAATTCCAGTGATGAAGACAGTTAGGGAATTAGGAAGACAACAGAAAACATTTCAATTGCCCAAAGAGAGAGAAGTAGGATTTCAACATGCAGATGAGTGAAGAGGGACATTGTCAGACAGAAGACATCCTGAGCAAAGATCAGGAAGAGCCATTTTTCTTTCTCTGGGAGGAGGCAGAAGACAAAACTAGGAAGCTGTGGGATCTAGACTGTGAAAGGCCTTAAAAGGCAGGTTAAGGAGTCTGGACAATTCTTAGCAATGATCTCTTCATAGTCTCTCTCTCTCCTCCCTTTTTGGTATTCCAGTTACACTACACCATACTTTTCACCTAATCTCAAATCTCCACTAGTCTTTGTTTTTGTATTCTCTATTTTGTGTATCTCTACTTTTATCTTTATTATTTTCCTTCTGCTAGATTTGAATTTAGTTTGTGCTTCCTTTTCTAGTGCCTTAAGGTTAGGTTTTGATAAAATTATTTCTCAGTTTGGTAACATTTTAAATTTATAATGCTAAGCCATCAATGGCAGTAGTAAATACATAAGCAAACATACACACACACGTGTGTGCACATGCACACAGGGTTAGTTCATAAAAATAAAGGGTTAAAAGAGAATTTCACATAAAACCACTAAAATATGTATATATGTTTTTTAATTTATTAAATTTAAACTTTTCTAACAAATATTATAATATTCTAATTTTCACTGATGTCTCTCTTCCTTTCTATTTCTCAAATGGTACTTTTTCTTTTTAGATACCTAATAATTTGCTAAACACTAGATAATATTAACTAGGAGAATAAAAGCAAAAGAGCAAAATTTGTTATAATCTCCATATGAGCTCCATTTTTGTATCCTTATCTGTATACTCATCCTAAAGCCAAAACTTAAATAAGATTATTAATAAACAGAGTAAGATTAAATCATGTTAAAATTTTAAGATTTGGAAATAGTGATATTTAAAGACTTTGTTATATCAACATATCATATAGTAAAGTTAGTGAGAAAATAAATATGATATAGAGAAAAATGGTAATAACTCAGAAAAGACCAAAGATAAATTAAAACCTATGCCCACAAGACAAGATTTTTAATGAGGTTCAACTTGAATGGGACATGCAAACCTGAGTGCTTAGTCAAACATACTGTTATACTCTCTCTAGTCTATAAAATTTTGCTAATTGTAATCATATCTCAAATTTTAAAATTCACTTTAAATGCTGATTTAAAATATAAATTACAATATTTCCTTAATTTCTATTTTTGTGTCCAACTGAAGGCAAAATTGCAGTAACTTGTGAACATAAACCTTATATATTTTAAATAATTTCAAATGTGTCAGATGGTTTGTCTCTATTAGTCAGGTAGACTAACTGCTATAATAATAACAAATTGTCAGAGACTTAACACCATAAATATTGAATACTTACTGAGCCCAACGAATGTTGAAGGGGATGTGGGCAGGTTCTGCTCCATGCAGTCATTCAGAGATCCAGTCTGTTTTCCATTTTGTTCATGCCCTTCTTCTGTCCAGAAACTCCTCTTCACTTAGTCCATGGATTGAAAAAAAAAAAAAAAAAAAAAAAAAACCAGTGAAAATTGTAGGTGGGAGGTTTTTATGAACCAGATCTAGAAGTAACAACATTATTGACCTCTCACTGTATTGGCCAAAATTCAGTCAAACGATCATACTGTTTAATGATAAGAAAAAGGTTCTTTGGAAGAAGAGGAAAAGAAAAAGAAAAAAAACACAACACTGGTGATTACTGATGTTGTTTGCCCCAATGGCTAAAAGATGCTTTAAATATTTGCAAGGGTAGGAATAGCTTCCACTGCTCTGTATGTAAGAGCTCCAGTTAAAAGCTGCCATCAAGTAAACACTTCCTGTTATCAGAACAACAGCAGTTTTAAACTTAAAATGAACCTAAAATATTGGAACACAGTATATAATAGGAAATTTGACATAATCACAACAGAATGAGGAACTACTACTGTTGACTTAAGAGCAAAGTAATTTGATTGCACAATGGTTGTGGATATATTCAAAGGATGGCTGCCAAAAGAAACCATGATATTAATATTATTCATTCCATAGTTTAAGTATTTTTATATTGGATTTGTTTTTTGTGTTAGTATAGAAAATAAATAAGTAATTACATTAGTTTCCATCAGCTTTTCACTTAGATGGAAAACTATATGGCTTATTAAATTATAAAAGAAAAGAGAGTACAATTATACTTCACTTGAGTAGTTAAAAAATTATGTGGTTATGTTGCAGAGAAATGTTAATGAGATCAGTACAGATGCATAAGCATATCTTTTAAGCTTTACATTTTATTTAGTTACTTATTTTTTAGTGTGTCTACATGTTTTATTTGTGATGTTTTTAAATTTTTGAATAGGTAATACACATAATTCAAAACACATGCTTTTAAAAAAATTAAAAGAAAATACTACACAGTAAAATGTCTTGATAATATCCTGTCTGCTAATCACTCTGTTCCAAACCCTAACCCTAACACATAAACTATTTCTTAAAGTTACTTATCAGTCTTTTCAGATTCCCTTTGCAAATATGGTTAAGTTTTCACTTTTTTCTTACATGTGATTTTGTATAAAAACCATTCTATTCTGTACCTTGTTTGCTTTCATTGAACAATAAATATATCTTGGAGATTTTTCTTTATCAGTGCAAAGAGAACTTCCTTCTTTCTTCTTCTTTTTTTTTTTTTTTAATTCTTACAGGAACTACTTAATTAACAACCAAGAGGAACACATTCAAAATACTGGTTTATTTTGATGACAATTGGTTGTTCTTTAAAGGCCAATGGAGGTAGACAAAACCCATTTAGGAAAGGCTATTTCAAATACTCAACAGTTCACACAGAATTTCAAAAAATGGTATTTTTAAAGAGGTAAGGGTCTGAATCCACTAACAGCAATGCAGTGCCTTGTTTATGATGACTTGAAACAAAACAAATGCTTATAAGGGAAAACTATATTTTAATTTTGTCTAAGTTGACTCTGTCAATAGTCCAGTAATATTTTCCTCCTAATACAATATTCCCTCTCTATGTGGCTATTTCTGGGAGCCAGACAGTTTAGAGAATGAGGGTATAAGTTAGAGAGAAACTGCTTGCAGTTTAAATAGACAGTAACTTCTGCTTCTCTCTTACTATGGCTAATAGTTGGGTCTAAGAAGTATGCAAATCTTAAAAAGATAGCATTTCTGGTTTCTTTATTACCTGTATAACTTCTGGAAACTAATCCCATAAAACTACAAAATTAACAAATGTCTTGAAATCTATCCATAAAACAAAGCACCTCTCATTTATTAGTGTACAACTCAGTCTTAAAAAATAAACAAAACACTTGGCTCTGACTCCAAGGAGTTTTCTACTGGTCTTTTAAGAAGGAAACTATTGGGGCGCCTGGGTGGCTCAGTCGTTAAGCGTTCACCTTTGGCTCAGGTCATGATCCCAGCGTCCTGGGATCAAGCCCCGCATCAGCGGTGAAGCCTGCTTCTCCCTCTCCCACTCCCCCTGCTTGTGTTCCCTCTCACTATCTTTCTCTCTCTGTCAAATAGATAAATAAATAAAATCTTAAAATAAAAAGGAAACTATTTCTTTTAACTTCATACCGTCCTCATACCCCAATTTCAAAACTCATCATTTAATTGTACTGGTCATGGACATTTCCAAGATGAAATTTTATATTTTGCTCCCATAGTTTCTGGTTATCAGAAAACCCACGTGTTCCTTTATTGAAAGGCGTTCGGGCTGCTGGGGGTGGTGTATCCCATCCAATATTCTTTATGCTCATCTTCGCTTCTGGAGGTATTTCCTGTGCTTCACTATCTTCAGCTCCATTAACAGCTGCTGCTACAAAGAGGGCTTTTGGAGCAAGAGTTGGAACAATTTCTTTAGGCTTACTTGATCCAAGTTTGATGGAATCTTTGTTGTCTGACTATGGTAAATCCAGATTTGCAGATCGTTGTAAGCTTTGTTTGGAGGTCCACAGCTTCTTCTGGAGCTCACAGCTTCTTGGCATGGCAACTGGAACTTTCCCCTCCATTACTCTGGTGGCTCCAGTTCTTTCCTGACTATCCACCCACCATTTTCCCTGCAGTGGCCTCTCCTGCAGCCATGCCAATGACATAACCTCTTTTTTTTTCTTTTTTTTTTTAGTAGTCTATTCTATGAATATACTGATCCCCTTTTGATAAGACACTTGGGTGTTTTCAAATTTTTTTGTCATTACAAACAATATGTCATTTTTTTACTGATGCAAATATATTTATATGATAATTCCCCAAAGTGGGATTGCTAGTCCCAAACTATAAATTACTATAACTATATTTGTAATTTTAATGGTATCAGTTCTCCTTCATAGGCAATCCAACTGGCAGTACATGAAAGTGCCTTAAATACATGATTTTCAAATATAATTTTTCTAGCTCTTTTATTAGCATGTCCTAAAAACTGTTTTACTATAATAAGTACTCATTAGTCTGCTTTGCATCCTTGATAATCAGGCTTTGGTCCCTAATACTATTTTCCAGTAAGAGGAACTAGGATTGTATAGAAAGTAGATGATAATTATTTGGGGACATAGAAAATTCAAGATGGTTTGGAATATTTGGTTGCCAGGAAAACAAAGATGTTTTCTAAATTTCTGGGACTCTGTTAGATAATAGAATCAGCTTAAAAGGGTTCTTACTTGCCAAGTTGTGATAACTGGATTACCAGAAAAAGAATAAATATTATAGTTACTTAAAGCAAGGCAAGTCTGTGGAAGACATGAATCAATCATGATACTCAAAAAAAAAAAATCAGAATTTTCATTCTCTTCAAATAGTATCGTCTTTGGCTTGAGTTTATTCAGATGAAAGCATGATATATTTATTTGTGTGTTTATTTTCCTGATGGATGGAAGCCTGTCAATGCTGACATAGTAAGCCACTATTAATAAAGATTTTAAAGAAGTTCTTCCCCGAATTTGAAATATCCGTATCAAAATGACAGGGGTAGGCATGCCCTTTGTAACTAAGTCTATGAAACTTTACAAATTCTGTAGAATTTGACTGTCCATATCACTGAGAACTAGCAGAGGGTAGTAGAACATCAAAATAGGATTTTAAAAATATTAAACTGACTAATATTTCTGTCAAATGAAAAGCAAAAAACAAACTAGACTCAATGACTAGATATTTTGCCACAATTGTCCTAAGTAGGAGAAAAAACATCCAAAGAAATATGGGACTCTTATTCTAAAAATATCAATGAGCTTTCTGCTAAAATTCAGTGTTTATTACTTACCAGTGAAAGATGTATTAGAAATTAACCTGATAAATTTTGACAAAACATTAAGGAAGTAAGTAAAGACATTCTGTGCACACATGAAAGGTTCCCAACAGTCTAACCAAGTAAACTACGCCATGATCCAAAGCCAGAATACTGAGTCCTCAACACGATTCACTGGAGATGTCCCTTTGATTTTAAGGAAGGGACAACAGAAGGGATGATGACTACTCCCCACTATCACTGCAGTGTCAAATTCTTTTTTTTTTTTAAGATTTTATTCATTTGCTTTATGAGAGAGAGAGAGAGAGCGTGCACACACAGGCAAGTGCGTCCCAGAGTCCCAGCCCACTGTGGAGCTCGACTTGGGGCTCAGTCTCAAGATCCGAGATCACAGCTCCAGCCGAAATCAAGAGCTGGTTGCTCAACTGACTGAACCACCCAAGCACCCTTGCCATGTCAAATTCTAAGCCTGGATTCATATATCTCATTGCAAGAAGACATTTACCCAGACAGCGTAACAATATAATGGCCAGCAATTTGAGTGTTTTGTTTTTTTAGTTTTTTAGCTGCAGTGTAACTTACCTATAGACAAGTATGCAAATCCTGAATGTACACAAAGTATTCACAGAGTGAACACATTACTCTAACCATAACCCAGGTCAAAAACTAGATTATCATCAGCTGCCCCAAAAGCCCACTTGCCATAGATGATCACTTTTGTTAAAGGATATTGAAATATAGCATATATAGAGAGAAAAATACAAATTACATGTACAACTCCATGAATTTTCACAAAGTGGAAACACCCATGTAGTCAGTATCCAGTTAAGATAATAGAAAACAAAACAAAACAAAAACAAAACATTTCCAACATCTTCAAAGTCTCCACCATTATAACTTGTACCATCCCTTTCTGGACTTCGCTTCAACATTATGTTTGTAAGATTCATCCATGTTTTTGCATGTAGCTGTAATTTCTTTTCATTGCTGTATAGTATGTATTTTAGAAATAATCTGCAATTTACTTATCCTTTTTGTCATTGATGGGCATTAGGGTTATTTCCCGTTTGGACTATGATGAATAATACTTCTCTGGGCATTCTTGCTTGTGAGTGTTTTCCACAGCCCTATAATTAGCCTTCCAGAGTGCTCATTAATGTTTACTCTGTTAGGAGATTGTAGCTTTAGAAGTCAGACCGAATGCAGTAGTAACCTCTCCTCTACCGAAACAAACAACTTAAGAG